TAGTCACTATTTACACACTAGAGCGTTTTAATAAGGAAAATATAGAAATGCTGTATCATTGAGTAAAGATAATTTAAATTTTTGTGAGTTTATGCTGTGGTCACTTAGTAATTTATTACTGTAGCTTAGCTTACGCGAAGGAGGCAACATTAGTACCGATGTCACTGAAACAGTAAGCGCTATGAGGCCTATAGCGTTTTTGAGAGACCACAGCCTTACGATTTGTGTTTCCTTTGACTAACAAGTTTTTAAGATGATTACGCTGTTTGAACTTGTTTTGTCCGTATATGTTAAAGGACTAACATGCAATTGTATCGGGGTCAAAACCTTGTGAAAAGCTTTAGTGGTGAAGGTTAAAAGGAACATTTGGTTCTTGAATATTGTTGACGTTTCGAATGATTAATTTATTTGGACAAAATGAAATGCATTTGTGAGACGGTCAACGGACCTCTATGGGGTCAATAAACAACGGAACAACATAAACTTTTAGATATAAATTTATTTAATTATTAACGTATATAAAATAGTAAATAAGGGATTTGTTTTAGTCTATAGACGCGAGAGATGGGAACATATTGTTTCCTGTATAAACCTGTGATATTTTCCCTTTCATCGACCGTTTGACCGTTCTTCTTCTTGTCATTTAATAGGAGTAAGCAAAAATAATGAAGATTTATCAATTTCAAAACTATTCGTAGCCGTAACATCACTTTCTGCGCATTTCGGATTCACCATGCTTGTCACAATAGACTACTAAACTGTTATTAAAACATTATTGTGTTTACTCTTGAGGATAAAAATAAAACAATAAAAATATTTCGCCCGTATTCAAACAACATGCAGAAGAACTTACATATTTGCTCTTATAGAAAAGACTTAATCAACAGTGTGAAGGCTTTATAAGGGATGGCGCTGGTAGAAATACAGCCTGCAAGGGTCGGGAAACTGTTTTCTAAACGACGCAAAAGATAGCGCTTGTACAAATTAAGTTTCTGGCTAAAAAGTGAACTCCCGTTTTCCCTTTGTGCTATGTGAGATTATTATAAACGTTTCACTGATGTACAGAAAAGTAGTTCATTATAGATCTATGTCCTTCCCAGTAAATAGTGTCCTCGAGATTGGAACCTAGGGCCTTGCGCGGGCTGTACAATCCGTTTATTTTTAATTAAAAAATCCCAGCAGTTCAAAACGCGAATATATTAGTTAATATAGTTTTAAAAACGACCTAACGTTTTAGATTCTTTGGAGCTTACGTGATCATGAGTGTACGTAGGGTCATAGTTAAAAGTAAAAATGTAGTAATATATTTCGTGTTTTAAACATTTCAATATCTTTTATTTATTGGTAACTGGCGCGTAAACTACAGCCAATTAATTTCCCACTGAAAATTATCCGTGTTTGAAATTTATACAAAATTAGCGCCTTTACAAAAGGAAAAACAATAGCTAAGTAAAGCACGTTAATAATCTAGTAGATACTTTCATTTTCATTTTAACATAAATATATAAATGCAAGATGAACAATAATAATATAATAATATCACATGTCAGAAGGAAAACCCGTACAATTATGGCACGAGCTGATTAAACGAGGAAACACCATGTAATTTACCCAAAAATGTTACCAGTTCAAATCTATCTCTTGGTCGGACTTACCTAAATCGGTTTTACCCACATGGTACATTTTTATAATAATGTTTATCGAAATACCTAATTTAATAAACCCAACGCTTATATATTCGACTTTAAAATTATAAGCGTCTTCGTGTCTCAATGTTTGAAACTAGCTGTGTAAGCGACGTCGTTCGTGTAGAATAGTAATTTTGAGCAATCAAATTTGCCTCAACTTTATAAATTTACACTGTTTTTCCACGATGTCAGCCGCGTCCCGTCGTTTGTGCAAGTTTATCTTAAACTTTTTGACATTCCTACATATTTTTTAGTAATCTTGAACCGTTTTCGCAACGTACGCATCGGTAAATTTTCCCTGTTTATTCAACACTTCTCGCTTTTTCTTCGCTCCTATTAGACACTCGTTTTAGCTTATTTAGCCTTTCTCAATGAATGGTCTAACCACCTTTTAATTCGTACTTTTACAACTTTTAATACCAGTCGTTCCTGAGATTCGCGCGTTCAAACAAACAAACTCTTCAGGTTTATATATTAGTATAGATAAATAAATATCATTTTATTGCCTAGCCTCCTTGGCTTAAAGTAAAAAGTTAAATATTCTGTTTTAAACATTGCAATACAATAGAAGAAATTACAATAAAAACACAAAGATTTTGGTGTAATACTGACTAACTACATATTATTATGTTCATACTAATCTATACTTTATCATATACTCTCTGTGTTCTTGTGTTCCTTAGAATTTGCGAGTTAAACCAACCTAATACATTTAAGAAATCTGTCATCATCGGTCAATATGTAAGGAAAACAGAATATTACTTTTCTTTAACTTCTACCGTATAGTAAATCTCATAAAATTTCTTAAGGAAATCAAAGCAAAAAATTAAGTCTAACATATTTGGTGACGGGTTTAGTTTAGGTTCATAAAACAATTATAGTTACTGTCTATAGTTTACGCGAGTAGTACACATTTAAATGAAACACTTAAAATGCGATATATTAGTTAAACTTATTTGAAAATGACTTGTGACTTCGGCCCGACGTTTAGGATGCTTTGCAGCAGCCGTCGTCACGGGGAGACTCGCGCGTTTTAAACCGTTAAAGTGTTTTATTTAAACAATTATAGTTGCCTAAATGTGATGTTATTTTCTTCGCAGTATGAGGAAGGATTTGATTGACCCAATTACAATTCAATATATACAAGTAGGGAATAAGGTCTTATAGTTGTTATAATTTTCCAATAAAATATTATGGAATTGTTTTTTCCTTGTCTCTCTAATATGTATAAAAATTGCATCACAATATCATCACGAATAGTGGAGTCAAGTGCCTACCTGACGAACTAGAAATTCTGATTCATAAAATGACGTTCGGGGAACTTTGACAGAACAATTTTATAGGTAAAACATCGGGTGATCCGGTGCCTACGTTAACTGTGTTTATGTCGATGCTTCTCTCAATTGTAGCAAATCCCCCGACTTTACTTCCATTATTTTTTTCATCGTATTCAATATCTTGGATAATATCGTGTAATCAATTACGATATAATAGTTCTGGAGGAAGGAAACAATCAGTTATTTTTAAGTTAAACAAATGCCTTCCAAATTCTCTCATTGTGCATTTACATATTATAAGTTGTAGCTGTATATTTCAAAGTATTAGATATATATGTATCCTGTCGGTACAGTTTAGGTAAAAACCACCCTAGAAATATCAGGTCTCACCACTATTAGTCACTAACTGTGGTCAGTTTTTGTAGGTAACTTTAAAACAAAAGAAGTTCACGTAATTTTGTTAACAATGACATAGTTACACTTTAATATTGATAATAATGCGTTAAATCTTTTAACTCATGTTAATATTGGGTATTTTGATAAAAATCACTGACATTTTACGAGTATCTTTGAAACTGAGACGCTTTTTGGGAATCCCCTTCGGTATCGATAAATCAATAAGTATAAGTAATAAAATTATGTAAATTTTGCATTTAAAGACTTAAATAAAAGGCCATCATGTTATGACATTTTCTGTTTTATAGTAATCTTATATGCAATTTGCATGGACATGCGCATAAGATATAAAGTTGAATTAATTTAGGATTATTAAGTCAACAAATTAAAACAAAATAACTTATAGGAAACTTTACTAATTTAATAACAAGTAAGTAAAGCAGTAACCTTATTTAAGTAGGAACTTCTTAATACCTATATATTTACAAATAATAAATAAAACTTAATTGTATTACATAGGACAAATAAAAATAATTTTCAATTTTTATAACTAAATCCTGCCAGTAAAAAGATAATTCTTATCCCTCGCTACAAATATAAAAATATTTATAACCAAAAGGTTGTCTTATATTAACCAATCATTAAAATATTAAAGTATATTAGTGCATTGTTATAGACTATACGTATATTACAATACATATTTACTATTTCGATTGATAATATAGTATATCTATCTATAGTAAAGTTGCCTAAAAGCAAATTATACGAATAGTTCATTTGATAATACCGTCCGTTGTTCTTCGTAAATTATTTAATTATTATTCAGTAAAACTAAAAAGAAAACTCTTATCAATCGTTTTTTTTCGTTATTTGCAAATACTCAAAGAATAAGAGCATAGAGATAAAGGAATCACTTTGTGACGACGAGGTGTTTATTTTTTTCCAATATCAAAATTCAAAATTGACGATTTTTATTCTGACCAGCAGAAACTGGATTTATCGAATCGATATTAATGCTTTCCAATATTATGTGAGAATTCGATGCCTTGCTTTATTTATAATAAACATTTGCATCTTCTAATTTTATATCTTTCTTAAATTTAATATTTCTAATGAATTGTTTAATTATTTTTTAATAAAGTATAGTATTCACTATTATTATTTCACTCACATTAACTTATACTTAAAAATATACCATAAAATAAAGTGGCTAGAGCCTTTTTTTGTCAATATTAGGTACCTACATAAACAACACTAAATTTCCACCATAGTATATGAGTATTGAAGAAAAATTAACCAAATAGGTATACCAAATATACAACAAACTAATAATAGTAATATTTTATGTAGTTTGAGCGGTTTCGTACCTACACACGACGTACGATATATAGGATTCGGAAAAATAAGTCACTAGATATTTTTCAGTAATTCGTCTCTATTCATTGATAACTTGCCGAAATTGTCTAGTTTGAATTGGTAAACAAAAACAAGTCTATACTATAAGGAAATCTCGCCCTAGCGTACGCACGTCGCGAGTGGCGCATGTAAACAAAAGTGAGTCGTGTCGTTGTATGAATAACGCGATACTCGCGCCCTTTCGCCATTCCGTCGCGAAACTCCGGCAGCAGCGAACGTTGCCATGATCGACTACGCGCGCCCCTACGATCAAAACATGTGCGACTACTATCTGCCCCCGTCGCCGGCGCCCGCGCGCCTCGACGATTTCCAAGTCTTCAAAAAGGGAACTTGCACCTACGGGAATTATTACAACACGTTCGATGTCCACGCTGAACCCGAAGTCGACACAGCCGCCAACGTATACCACAACCTCGTCAACCTCAGGGATTCCTACCGCCCCGAGGACTGGAGATATAAAAGCGTGTTCGACTGGACAGCGGATGACACTATCTCGTGGATATTTGATTGCGTGATTGCGAACGGCTTCAGTGAATACGATGTGCCCTTTTACAACTTCAGAATCCCGGGCATCGACATCAGGAATATGGGAAGAGAGGACATTCTTACCAGAATGTTGCACGCCAACATTGATCCCAATTTGACCGCGAGAATAGCCGATGTTGTGTATGATAAGCTTCAAACTCGATTGAATGATGAAATCCTACGGCAATCCACGGTGTTCAAATATGCCGATCCATACCAAAGCCAGGAACAAACAATGTTGGATCTGGACTATCACAAAAATAAACTGTACACGTCAGATTACAAGCCAAATGACAGCAGTTTGCTACAAACGGCAGACTCGAGTGATGACGCGGAGGATTTGTTCGGATCTTCCGCCGCCGCTTCACCAGAATGTGCTTATGGAAGTGATGGAAGCAAATCTGGTGATGAGGATACTGACAAACGGAAGCTGGTGAAGCGGCCTCCTGGACGACCAAAGGGCAGCGGCAAAAAGGGTATCAAGCGACCACGAAGCGTTTCCGTCCCGGAATTCCTTAGGAATTTGTTGTTCGATGAAAGATATTGTCCATCAATTATAAAGTGGGAGGATTATTCACAAGGAAAATTCAGGTAAGATTTCATTTACAACATACATTATATAGAACTTAAGTGATTTATTATTATGACATTTAAAGGTTATTTATTACGTTTCATCAATAGAAAAAATTAAAATAGGCAGTTACTTTAGGAGAATATCACTCCCTTTTCGCTCGCTCTATCTTTACTTCTGGTAATTACAAATGTAGAAATAATATCTAGAGTATGAAAGATGGATATAAATGATGGTTTGTCCAATGGTGACATTTAGTACAATACATAGTACTAAGTACTGATTGTTTCGAGATCCGCTTTAAAACACGTGGCCTGGCATATATTTGAACCAGCGCAACAAGAAACAATACGACGAACGTGTCTTACATTAACTATGTGTCAACTTTATTTTAGAACCATTGTGTTATCAGAGAGTAAACATAAATATTGATATAAATCTTGACTTGACTTAATTGCTTTGAAATGTTGATGAGCTAATTAATTCTTGACTAGTGAAAAGTAAGGATTATTTAATTGTTACCAGATAACTGAAAAATCATCTTAAACTGAATTAAAGAATTAAAATTCTTAACTAGAAGTGATATTATATAAATAATTCTTTACTATCACTTATTTATTATTTAATTGAATATTATTAAATATAAGTCCAAATGCCTATCCATCTTACGACGAATTTACTTTGCTATCATTCCTTCTAAACTTGTTATAAAAAGTTTTTATTTAATATGTTTACTTAAAGTTGGATTAATAAAAGGTTTAACATCTCTCAGATTCAGAGCTTAAGCCAAGATATACAACATAATAATAATGTACATTACATAAAAAGATGCATACGAGTAAATACTTCTTTCTTATAGTTGTACATTCTTAAACATAAAAAAATATCATTACGTTAAGTCTTCCAATATTTTGTAATATTAATTAAATTTTAAATATTTCGAATTTAAGAAATAATTTTCATTTATATGTGAAGATCAAAATATAGTTTATACATTTTCATATTTAAATATTACTGCAACAGGACAAGCTTAATACTTGGTAATTAAATTATGTTTTTATATATATGTAGATTTCTAAGAAAAACGAAATAAGTATTTTTTATTGAAATCATATACTAAACTACTGTATTTGAGTTGCACCGCGTTTTTTATCTTTGCTAACAAATCTCGTGCCCACGTTTTTATGCTTGCCTTAACCTTGTCTTGTACGTCCTTGCTAGCGAACTCAGTACAAATGTTAGATACTGCTTCAATCTAAGACTTTAAAGTCTAAAATTGTGTGGCATTTTTTTTGATTCCGTTTATTATGGTCTCACTTAGCGACTATGACCTTTACATTTGCTATGGGATCATCTTTTCATGAATAAATTATTATTAAAGCTTATTTATGATCTACCTCGTAATAAAGACTTATCTATATATTGTGTGAATTTAATTTGTAAGTATATGTAAAGCTAACATTTTGTAGACCCCTTTTACCAAAATTGCGCGGACGCAGGAAAATGAGATTTTGCACGCACAGTTTAGGTATAACATATAATATAACAGCAGAAGGAATTTAATTTAATTTTACATAATTACAATGAAGCGATGCTACATTGTTTCGGCCATCTTCATACTTATATTGTGGCAATTATGACCTCGACGTATGTACTTATTTATTTAACATCCAGCCTTACTTACGTATGACGTTTGAACAAATACGAGTACGTTTTAAAGATAAAAAATGGCCGGTGCAAAGCTAAATAGTTTATCTACACTGTAGTGTATAGAGACACGCCCCCGAATGGGTGGATATCGTTATGTACGTATATAAATTAAATGAAATTATGCAGACGTGCGTTTTAAAATGCATAATTATGAAGATAAATGTAGTTTTTATTAACTTTATACCGCGAAGCTATACCAAAACCGGTTTCTTCGATTTAACAGTTCTAAGAAAATCTTGTAGCGTATTAAAACGATCCCGTGCCAAGACGCAAGACAAGATTATCTTTAGGTATAGTTTCTACGTTTGAATTCGCTTCTTAAACCAACTTCACTAGGAAACAACGTTATTAAAATCAACCGCTACCGATGCAATGTGAAATATAGATTTTATATAGATAAACCCCTCAAACTAACGCTCTATCAACTTTAAAGATTTTTTTTTATATTCGATATTATCTTAATTCAAGTACGGGCATTATTTATTATTAATTGCTTAGTTGTTTAAAGGTAAAATTACCATTTTGTAAGATCGGTTTATGAAGAATTAATTCATAATATAAAAATTAAAAAAGTTTTCGATACGGGCAGGACAATTTTTTTTTTTCATTTTATAATCGACTTTTAATTTATATAATGCCATCATGTGCAATAACATGTAAAAAACATTAAAACGTTTTTATTAATAAGTTTTTATTGGTTCTAAGTGATTTAAAACCAGAAGATATCTGATAATACAGCGAGACCGTGTCCTCTGACTAGTATCGACGAACTAGGCCACCCTCTTGGTTCTAGTATAGATTTTTTTTCTCGTTGCCACGCAGCCTCAAGGACGATTTTACTTCCGGCACGGATCTTTTCTCTTGTACACGCGGCTGTTTTCAAAATACTCGAGCTTCAGTCTACACGCGCCTACATACAGACAGGACTTGTTACTTTCGTACGAAACTTTATATTTTTTAAGCTGTTTCAAATTTACTTTCCGAATATATTTATTTATTTACTTCAGGACTTCAATTGAAAGATTGAACAATACAAAATTGTGTAAACAGTTATAGGCATACAAAGATAGAGTGAAGACTAAATGTACAAAAAAAATAAACAATATTTCTTTGATATACATATACTACTAATAATTTACATTACTATAAATATGAACTTTAGGTAAAATACAGGACGTAAATTAAACTTAGAGGACTGAAGATAGCAGGTTGCAAAGTTTGCAACCTTTTAATTTTGTTATTAGTTAAAAGCCTGTATAAACAAACAAAGAAAATAATTTGTCTCACAGGAAATGTTAAGTAGTTTATGAATCGGCCATTGCATTTCGTTTTAGTAAAAAATAAATTATATATTATGTAGTCTTAAACTCAATACTGCAATAGCACAAACGTATTAATTCGTTATAAAAGGGTATATTTACGATAAAATAACAACGATACTGTGTAGAATAATTTCGGCATTTTCGCAAAATGTGTATAAAAATAAAATTAGGGAACCGTTGCCATGGTAACCCCGGGCAGCATCCAGTCACGTGTCGCCGTTTCCGCTTTGCGCGTTTTTCTTTCGCATTTTTTCTCCCCAGGAGGGTGGGGCACCCCGACAGCTCGTGTACGCGAGCCTTAATTGCGTCTGTGAGAGTGTGGTCCAGAGAAATTAGAACGAGAGTAATCTGCGCATAGAGATTTATTTTCCCTTTTTAAGTAAAGAATTCAATATTTATATATGAAATGTAAAGAAGAATTGCTACTAGCCCACCCTCACACAACATACAAACCTTAAATGAATCAATATTATGAAAACTAACTAGGTACCTACATATATTTGAGCAAATAAGACTATAGTTTAATGATTTAAAAGTAAATTCCTTTGCATCTACAGTTTACAGCCGAAACAACCTCATACCTATATGAAAATCAGTCTTGTTATCCCTGTTTTTAAAAAGCATATAACACGTTCTCGACAATACACATAAAATGACACGACAAAAAAAATTAATACAATCCTATCGATTTGATTATTCGATTCGATAATTACTAACATGATGTTACCAACTTGACCAATTAAATTAATTTATTATTCACTTCCGAGCAATAAAAATATAATTTCATAATACTAACCTTTACCCTGAGGTAAAATTTTGAAAATGTAACTAAATTATGTAAACTTCTGTCTCAAGCTACTCTGTACAGGAGCTTGCACCAAAGTCCCTGTAACATTTCTTTTTCGTGAAAATCTATTTATAACTAGGGCAGCCTCGTGTTCGTGTCCGTATTCAATTTTGCTCCTAATTGAACTAGACATAAGGTTTATAATCATTTGTATAAGACTGATGCGTAAATGTACATCTGTATAAGTATATGTAGCGAATTTTTTTCTCATAGTGGCTCTATTATATTGATTAGTAGAACCCCTATCCGGGTAGAGGCTGCGCTGAAACGTCTTTAAGTTTTCTTTGTTTTTCTGGTACTTGATCAGCGATCTAATTTAACGAAATTAAGACTCAATTTATCAGAATGTCACTTGTTTCTTCATTTTTTATCAGGCCTTTGTAAAGGTCATAGAATGTCAAGTCCTCAGTTAAATAATAAATATTATATGTAACAATTTCTTTAGTACAGTTTTGAATTACATCACAATATCATCTCTCCAAATGGTTTTCTTCAAACTAAAATTGCTTTTTGTATAATTGATGCAAAGGAATGCTTTCATAAATGCATTTTCGGACTTATACGAAGGTACTAAAACATACTGAACAATGGCAACACCTTTCCATATAAGTAAACTCTGCCTAAGTTTACTTATATAGAAAGGTGTAAGACAAACGTTTTTTAGGCTAAAAATCGATTGTATTGTGAACTACTTTTATAAAAGTTAGACCTACACGCTTTTCGTCAATGTAATATTAATTACTAGCTGGTGCCCGCGACATCGCAGAATTATATTGGAGCAGCTTATATTAGCGTGGCGTAAAAAGAACTAACATTTATGACATAAATATGTGTAACTAACGTTTATGGCAGCGCACACCAGAATAGCTCGCAGAAAGGTAGGCTTTTTCCTAGTTACTTCACACTTAATGTCATATTTTGGACAGCTCAAACAATATCTTTATAAATTGTAGCCTATGTGTTATTCTGATGCATAAGCTATATTATTGAAAAGTTTAATTGAAATCCTTTCAGTAGTTTTTGGGCGATTGAGTAACAAACATCCATCCACAAATACAAACTTTCACGTTTATAATATTCGTAGGATTAAAAAGTTTCCTTAAAAGTTTAGTTTTGCATTGTGAGTATATTATATTTTTTT